CTGCCTCCCAGTTACCCGGGACGCCAGCTTCCGAGGCAGCGGACAAAACCGGCTCGCCTGCGTCACGGGACGCAAACTTGGTGGGACCAAAGCGAAAATCAACGCCGAGTGGTTTTGCCCGGATGCGAACGCCTCCTTCCAGCTGTCTGGAAACCAACCTAAACGCTCAGCGGAACCCTGCGGCTTCGGCTCGACATTCCTTGGCTCATTCTCTTTGTCACAGCCTTGCAGAAGCAAGCTCCCCCATCCCTGTTCTTCAGATAAATACATAAAATACATAAATCACAGAATCACAGAATAGTAGGGGTTGGAAGGGACCTCCGTGGGTCATCTAGTCCAACCCCCCTGCCCAAGCAGGGTCACCTACAGCAGGCTGCACAGGACCTTGTCCAGGCGGGGCTTGAATATCTTCCGACAAGAGACTCCACAACCTCCCTGGGCAGCCTGTTCCAGTGCTCCGTCACCCTCAGAGGGAAGAAGTTCTTCCTCATGTTCAGACGGAACTTCCTGTGCTTCAGTTTGTGCCCATTGCCCCTTGTCCTGTCACTGGGCACCACTGAAAAGAGCTTGGCCCCATCCTCCTGACACCCACCCTGCAGATATTTGTAGGCATTTATAAGGTCCCCTCGCAGCCTTCTCTTCTTCAGGCTGAACAAGCCCGGTTCCCTCAACCTCTCCTCGTAGTGGAGATGCTCCAGTCTTTAAATAAAGATTTAAAGGTCAAAAGGGTCAGTAGGGCTTGCTAGCCTGGCCTACAGTTCACCAAGGACCAGGGACTTTCTCACATAAAACTCGTCAAAAACCGCTCAAGAAACAACTCGGAACTACAGCGGCGAGCCACTGCTGAGCAGATGTGTGTTCAGGAGGGCTGAGAAGAGATTCCGCATGGCCATCGCGCTCAACTTCTAGCCAATTAGCTCCGACGACGTGATCAAGAGCATCGCGCTCAACTTCTGGCCAATTAACTCGGACGACGTTATCAAGAGCATCGCGCTCAACTTCTAGCCAATTAACTTGGATGATGTTATCAAGAGCATCACGCTCAACTTCTGGCCAATTAACTCGGACAATGTTATCACGAGCATCACGCTCAACTTCTAGCCAATTAACTCGGACGATGTTATCAAGAGCATCGCGCTCAACTTCTGGCCAATTAACTCAGACGACGTGATCAAGAGCATCCGTGCAGGCGAGCGGTGGAAGCGTGACGAAGGCAGCCTCAGCACGGGGCAGACCCTACCGCTAAGCTGGAGCACAGAAAAAACACGTAGGGTCGTTCGTCCAGGAGCAAAGCGCGTATTGTAGAGTTGGCCAACCCACGTCTTGAGCTCCGGAGAGTTCCCGTGCTGGAGAAACGCGACCTGACCGTAAGCAGGAAGGTGCTAGCACTGGGGTCACTGTGTAAGTCAAGTCCTCGGCTCTGGGAGTAAGTGGATAAACTGGAACCAGCCCTGGAGCCACCCACGTACCCAGCCCGGCTCAACCCTGCGACAGAAGAGCGGCAGCTACTGAAGCCAACGCGTTTTCTACTCGTGAAAGGTATTGGGGATGCAAGTACCGCAGCATCCTGTAGCTCTGGGCATACAGAGAGTGGGGACAGGCCAGAGGAACGACAGCCATCTTCACGGTGGGCTGTACGTTTCGGGAAGGGGAGCCCCCCACCAGGATGAGCCGGTGATCCAGGTTCTTCTCCCAGCTGCAACAGAACCGTCCACGCAACCTCCAGCGACACGCGGAGGCTGGGAGGGCTCGGAAACAAGGCAGGCAGTGACAGAACACGTCCATCTGTCCTACAACCCACCTCTCAGCTCTGCCCACCAGGCGCCTCAGAGCTTCCAGCGTTGCGCATGGATGGAGATGGTGGCAGGGAGAGGACAGCTCTCTTCCACGCCAACGGAAATGTCTGAACTCCACGTGTACAACGCAACCAGGAGTTTAAGGGCCAGCCAACTACAGATTTATACTCCTTGGCTCTTTGACGTGCACAGCTCTCTCTAGATAGGACCCCTACGATAATGAAGCATGAAACAAGCTTTCGAAGCTCAGACAACACTCCTCCTTCAGGGTCTCGCTCGTCTCAGCACCCCAAAGTCAAACGCTGCAACAGTTCAGGTCAACATCAAAAAGCAACAGGAGCCGAAACCTTGGGGTCTTTTTTTCAAGCGAACCCCATAAGCACCTACCTTTCGAAGAATGTCTTCTGCTAACGTGAGGAATGCCTTCTCAATGTTTATATTTGCTTTCGCACTAGTTTCGAAAAACCTAATACCGTGCTCCCTAGCAATCTAAACCAAAACAGAAAGAAGGAGGTTAGTGTTACTGCAGGGTTACTCAGCCGGTGCTGCTGTAACTTCAGGATCAGCAGCATTTATCAGCATGTAAGATTTCAGCCGTAGCAGGCATCAGGAGCACCAGCTAGGCAAAGTGTCACCAAAGAGGATTCGGAACTTAACGATTCGGAAACAGCAATTAAAGCGCATTACACCCCAGATCAATGTCTGAACATCAGATGACAGATACCATAAAGCCTGTCACATGGTAAGTAAAAGATCCTTGAAAAATTTGAGTTCTCAAAGGAAGCAGAAACCACAGCTGAACTCGTTCCGTTCACGGTAGCTGTACGCAACGCAGCTACTACACAAACCCTCCCCAGCCTTACGAGCCGTCAGCGAAGCCAGCTCCTTCCCCGTGCCCGGCACCTCAGCCGCCTGCAGGGGGGGGGAAGCCTCGGCACCGATGTGCTTACCGGGACAAGCACGTCGTCGCCCGACGCTTACCTGTTCGCCTTTTGCTTTGGAGACGACTCTTTTATCCTCCATGTCGCACTTGTTTCCTAACAGCATCCTCTCCACGTCTTCGTTGGCGTGCTAAAACGAGACACCAGACAGGTTTACACGCCTCCCCCCACAAGCAGTGAGCACCTACTCCACTTCTGTGTTTCCAGGCTGTCTGAAACCCAGGCTAACCTTTACAGGCCTCGGCGTCTTGCAGTGCCCCGAGTCGGAACAAGGACTGCCAGAAATCATCCTTCAGCCAGCAGCTATCGACTGCACTGCTCACAGAACCCAGAAGCGCAATGAGACATCAGCTACGGGGTTGACACGGCTCTGTCACCATCCCAGCACCACTTATTTCCCCCCTTCCTTTTCATTTCTGTAGTTTCAGCGTGAAGTCTTCCTTTCTGAAATAGGCAGAGCGCTGTTCTGCAACCCAGATCCTGCCAGCTGAGGACGCCAGCCCCCCAAACCGCTGTCGGTTTGCATTCGGTGATGGGGGGAAAGCATCCCCCTCCTGCCCAGCACCCCGAGGCGTCAGGCTTCACGCCTGCTGGACAAGCACACTTGGTCCAAAATCACAGAATGTTTGGGGTTGGCAGGGCCCTCTGTGGGTCACCCAGCCCAACCCCCTGCCCAAGCAGGGTCACCCAGAGCAGGGGGCACAGCACCGCGGCCAGGCGGGGCTGGAATATCTCCAGAGAAGGAGACTCCACAGCCCCTCTGGGCAGCCTGGGCCAGGGCTCCGGCACCCTCAGAGGGAAGAAGTTCTTCCTCAGGTTCAGCTGGAGCTTCCCAGGCTTCACTTTGTGCCCGTTGCCCCTTGTCCTGTCGCTGGGCACCACTGGAAAGAGTTTGCCCTGTCCTCCTGACCCACCCTGCAGATACTTGTAAGCATATATTAGGTCCCCAAAATACCAAGGTCCAGGATGCCATGGTGCAAAAGGCTACAGGGTAAGGACCACCCCCACCCACATCTACAGCTGCCAACGATAAAGGTGGATGCACTGGAGTGGCTCCAGCTGACACTACTACTTTTTTGGTGTTTAAAGCGTCCTTTGCACAGTTTTACTGTAGCCAGGTCAGTCTCCTTAACAACTGCAGCTATGCTTTCAGTCACCGCGAAGCCAAACAACCAGGGAGGTAGTAAAAAACCCCCTTTTGCCTGTAATTTTCCTTTTAATAGAGAAGTTACCAAGTTAACAAAGGGAAATGACAGCTCTGTAGCATCACGCTGTTCCTCCAATGTGGCAACCATCAGAGCAAGACCGCGCGCCAGCTCCGGGCTTCAGCTCTACCTGCCAAGTCCGTCAGGCAGCAGCTGCGAAACCCACGCTGCACGCAGGCTGCACGCCAAGCACACGTAAACCAGGACATGGCCGAGGGAAGGCCTCATCTGGAGTGCTGTGTCCAGTGCTGGGCTCCCCAGTTCAAGAAAGATGAAGAGCTACTGGAGAGAGTCCAGCG